GCGAAAAAATATGCTGTACGATATTGAAAGTGAAAGTTCACAAGAAATATGTACAGATATATTTCTGTTAGGGAAGAAATAAGATCCAAATGCAAAATCAACACATTGTGGTCCATTATTTGGTTCATTTATTAAAATAATTCCCGAATATGTTAGTATGTTTAGGTTTATTATTGTCAAAACTAAAATATGAGCGATTATCATTAAGTGCTGATGCAACACCTATTAAAAATGCTTTTTTTATCACCAGATGCACTTAGACGTAGTGTAATTGTTTGTTACGACCATGTAACTGATGATGTACGAAACGTAGAGGAAAAATGTAATTCTGATTTTATTTCAACTAGTTTTCCACTTGAAATTATTGATGATGACAATTATTTTCAATATAACTTTTTATCAAAAGTTTTACAAAATCTTAAATTTTAACAAATATTGGTTATTAGTAAAATCATCGCAAATTCAACTAGAGCATGATTAGTTGACATAAATTAATTACGTTTCGTTGGATTTGTTTAGGAATTCTTTAAATTCTTTTTTATCCCTAGATATATGAAACTGAAATCATGTCAATATCTATGTTGTCATTTGCTCTGTTACAATATCATTTCGCCGTTTTACGTTACTCAGTAGCTTGTATCGTGGTGTAAGCATATTCAGGCGGAATTTGCATGAACTTTTAACTGTGGAACCTCGAACTAGACGAACGTTTAGCCATCTCATCCGATGTCATTTCCGACAGACGTTCTACATGACGTCGAGGAGTGACAATTAATTTCGTGCGTAATTGCGCATCTAACCAGATACGTGTATTTATATTCTCTTTAATGATACTTAATCGTGATAAATCATTATCAACATCACATGATATACACAGATCACAGTCAACTGGTCCTCGATGATAATGTTTTTCTTTATAATGAATAGACATACCCAACTCACGACCACGTTGTTCACTTAGTTTCATGCGAAAGTTACGAATATGATGTTGTTGTTCAATGAAGACTAAGATTTGTTGAAAATAATTGGTAGCACATTGTTGAGTGATTAGTTGTGCCAGTGTCATCGGGCATAGAAAGAAATAACCAAGACTGATGGATTTTGGTATTAACCATTCTTCTGGTATCTGATGTTCGTTGTCGTGGACGTCTGATGGCTGCTGATTAATAGATAACTTTGATAACTGATTACTGAAATTATCGTGCTGCTCGGTCATGTTGATCTAGGAAAACAAAGAAAGAGAACTCGATCGAACCATGAAACTTAAAGAGTAGAGACTGGAGAAGTTTAAGTCAGGTTTTCTGGTTACGCGGAAGAGAATTCTGACGTTTTCTATACTGCAGTCTCACCTAAATTATTTAGCATGGAAGTAAACGTCAAAAAAACGACTGATATGATGGCGAGAAAGATTTCTGATTGTTTTTCACTCCAGTACTGTCTATGTTTAAAGCTTTACATATATGCCAAGATAGAGGCACTCATGTACTTGACGGAGTCTTAGGTCAGGCTCTAGATTATCAGGGATAGGTAACTCTTCGTCAGTCTGCGATAGAAGATTCAACAAAAAAAAGTTTTACCAATAACTTGGACCACAGTAATCGCATGTTGAAACTTAGATTCGCAGTGGTTGAAAAAACATTGTTACAGTTTTTTTATCGTGATTTAGTGCATTTTAGAATGTTCTAAGTTTTGTTAGAAATAACTTCGAAATTTTTTTAACAGACGCTTTGTAGAATAAACATTTTTCTACAAAATGAGACGTTCCGCAGCTCTGAGCGAATCTTGATAACTGATCTATAGCAATTCTCCCAGATGTCCCAACACTAGTTTTTAACTGGTGCATACTTAATCTGGCGCAGTCAAAAACTATATGCTCTTATTTTAGTCAATGTGAGTTAACACAAAAGCATAGACGAAATTTAAATTATCACTAGGTATACGCTCGTAATTACTGGCCTTGATTTATTTGT